GTATCGTAGTCGGCAAGCAAAGTGTTTATCTTTGCTCCATGGCGTGTTGTTGAGCAAAGGGTCCCCCGTAAAGTTTGACCATCATGACCACTTCATAGGCGAGGTCCGCAAGGCGGTTCACTAAGTCACGGCTTTTGGAGATCCCGATCTGTTTGATCTCCCCCTCGCCTGCATCCTCGTCTGTCTGCATTTCTTGAATCTAGCACATTCTGGGTCTGCATGGTCCACAGACTCCGAAGCTTTACCAAACGTGCTGTTTTTGTGAGTCTAACTGCATTTGCACCCTGCTACACAGCTTGATGGGCAGGTCAAGTGCGACAGTGGGCATCCGCATCACCCGCTCTGAGCTTATAGGGCTTAGGGTTAGTTGGGATTTCTTGCAGCTATGGTTGCGAAGCAATGGAGTTGTTGCACCATGTAGGGTTCATATCCTAACTCTGTTTGCTGCTCAAGGTTCTTTCGCAGAACAAAGCCTTTGACCTGTTGCAGGCTGGACAAGCTCCTGCGTTGGGTTTTGCACCTCCCGCTAGATTGCTCCAGAAGCGGTCTGAAACTCCCATCTGTAGGCCCTTTCCTGAACGATGGCCGGTGAGTACATGTCCTCGCATTGTGGCACTTTTGCAGTGACCATTGGAAGGTCTAGACAATGTTCTTTGAGGAGCTTTGGTCCATCCATGAAATGTTTCTGGAATTTGAGTTCTGGTTCACGTTGTGACTTCGCGGGCGTGTCGATGTGAAGCCGTGTAGCTGTGTATCTTTTCAAAGCATGATGTAGCTTTTGCAGTATTGTGCAAGGTTGCAGAAGTAGTCGATGGCCGGGCACTTCCTCGGGTGCTTTGTGGCATTCTGCGGACAAGGCCTGCGGACCGTCTTGCTGCCTCTGCTCGAAACAACGTTGTCACGCTCTGCCGTTGGTGTTCTGAAAGACCCAAGTACGAAGCTCAGCGAAGCTAAATGTCAGCCATGTTTGAACGATGAGACTCGTACAGGAATAGCGGAGGATCCTCAGCATGGCAGGGAAGCTCTCAAAAAAGCTCGACAAATGAAGACTGCCTGGTGGCCCTCATTCTTGGATCTTTGAGCCACGCAGCATACCCCAGAGGGATCGGGTTTAGGTTTTGAGGTTCGGGGTTTCAGGATGTTGGGGTTGAGTTTTCGTGGCGTGCAGGTTTCCGGTTTAGGGTTTGAGGTTGAAAGGATCTTTCGTTTCAGTACGGTCTGAATTGTGCAGTTCTAGCGGTGCAGAGCCTCTAAGAGCTTATCCTTTCACCGAAGTGGGACCTCAAGCCTTATGCACGGACTTCACAAATTGATCGTTGAGATTTGCAGTCAATTTCAGCACTTGTCGCTCGCAACCCGTCCAGTCTGTGTCAACGTGTGTTCACAGCGGGAAGAGTGTTGTTGCCGGCCCTAGTGCGGCAAGTGGTTCTCATGCATTCCTACTAGTTGGATATGTCTTGGAGGGCAAGAGAGGATATGATTTAACTGGGTTGATGAATGATTTGATCTCCACCGTCAGGCATCCGGGGAGCCCGCAAGTTACTGCGATCGCTGCGCCATAAACAATTGCACTTCTAGGTTTGTAAGTGATAGTCTCTTGCACTGTCGCAGCCCGAGGCTGTCGTGAAGTAGTTAGCTAGCCCTTCGTACTTGGTTGACGCTGCAGAATTCTATCAACACTGGTGGTGACTTCGCTCGAAAGGCTCCAAAGTATAAAGCCACAAAACAGAATGTGGGATAAAAATTTGAACGCGAGCTTTACCTGAGTCGGTGTCGTCGCCGAGGGACGCACTTTGAAACTCGTGATCCATGGCTTGTGGCGTTCCGCTTCCGCCTTCCAAGCTACAGTGATCAGTTTGGTACAACAGGCCTCGACAACGATCGCATGCACTGCGCAAACGCTAGGACGAGAACTCCAAGAGCATCCTTGGTCTGCACGGCTTGCAGCCGAGTCTTCTACAGGCAAATGCTCGGAGCACGCCATTGCTGCGGTGGTTGTACGAGAATCTCACATGGTCACCTGTGTGGTGCATCTCGAATTTCAATGCCGATGCTACAGCGACTGCGGTACAGCAGGATCGATGGACGGGGCCGCGCAGCTCCGTGCCGCATATGCATGCTGAAGTGCCACTTAGCACAGCCGCTGAGTCACTTTATGCATTGGTTGCTGCACAACCGCTTCCACCGCACGCGCTGCTAAAATCCAGTATTGGTCATCCTATAGGCTCCATCGTGTTGAGCATACACAATCGGCTTGTCCTCGTGCGGCTGCTCGCATGGTCCGGCGCCGTTTCCGCAGCCACGCTTGCCGCGTTGCACCTCGGTTGTTACCTCACGTATACTATGACGCACCCGTCCCAGCAATCCGAGTGCATGCACCAATGGCGCGAGCATTTTCGTGATGCTGCATCTTTGCACTCTGACGCCTTTGATGTTCAGCACTTTCGTCGCGTCAAGAGGCGGGTCGATCGTATCCGTGCAACACGGACTGCACAACACTCTCTAGACCCTTCCCTTGCCGACAGTAGCACTGTGCCTTTCACTTTGGCTGAACGCAGGTCTGCTCGTATACAACATGCACGGTGGACAAAGCCCCGGGTTGCGACAAGCTCCCACAGAGAGCACCACGTGTCGACATTTCGCGGTGGCAGCATGCCGTTCTCAATTTCCTTGATCTATGCAGGTTGTATGGTCGTGTGGGAATCGTAGCGTAGGAATCTGTGTGGCACGTACAGCTTGCAGCAGGACCCAAACCACAAGCCGCGCGCGTGCACCGTGGGAGTGGCATACTGTCAATTGCTGCGTAGCGAGCCTTAACTCTTTGAGCTCCCTGCGGCCGCAAAACTGCTGGTGACTCGCCTGCCTTGTACCGAGGACGGCGCAGGGACTTAGACTCCCTTTCGACAGTCGCCAATAAGTGTGTAAAAGGACCTGAACTTGGCCGACATGAACCTCGATGTGCCAGTCGCTGATGCACGGCGCATCGAGGTCGTTGCCAATGGGCTGCCACTGTTGTTACCACAATCGTGTCCCCCCTCACGCGGCATGGCCAAGCCCACCCCCGCACTGACGCGCAGCCAGGCAGCGCAGTCAATGCGGCGGCCCAGTTGTGCAATTCCTGCGCCTCCTGGCTTGGCAAGGAACTACTGCCATGCCCAGACTGCTACGTCCTGCCGCAATCACTGTCCGGGTGGCGCGGTGGTCGAGGCTCATCGCGGTTGCCGTGCAGCATGCTTTTGCGGCTACCAAACCCGGCTTGAACTGTCCCGAGCTGCACGAGCTTCTCGCGGAGGCGCGCTAGCGCTCACCCACCCACCGAACACGCCGAGATCCGCCGCATGGGCCGCACGGTAGAGCGCAGGTAGCATGGGGACCCCTTGTACCTCGCACCGCCCCGCGCATGCCAAACCCTAGGCCTGGACGTTGACCGGGGGTTCGACGCCGACACGTTATGCTACAAGTCGAGCTGGGCACATCCACGGCGGTGCCAGCGACCGAGATGGACGCGATGCAGGACACGGACGAAAAGCAGCACGCAGACCAGGAGTACGACGTGATGATCTTCGGGAACATCTACGCATTTCGGGAGCTCTTCGATGCCGCCCACATCCAGGGCGGCACCGTCCCAATCCCAGACAGTGCAAAAAGTGAATACGTCCGGCACATGAAGGTCCAGTTTTCCGAAGACCAAAAGGACAGGCTCAAGAGCGTCCTGGGAAAAGTTTTGCTAAACACCCCAGTGTACCTGATCGACAGCACAGAAAGGAAGGAGGATCCCCTGATCACTTAGCTCCTGGAACAGGCCTCCGTGTACCTAGGCGAAGAGTCCAAGTAGCAGGCGGGGAGCTGACAGAAGAAAGTTTCTTCCGGACAAAAGTGGCGTGCAGCACCCCAACCAACTAAGTTGCCATGTCTTCACCGACGCCTCCGGACTGGGGAGACACCCTCCAAGACGTCACGCCCATTCATGTGCCCTCATCGCCCCCCACAGTGGATGTGCCCGGTGATGTTACCCCAGGTTTTGACGCGCCTGCCGGCATGCCCCGTTGGGTTGGAACCCCTGCCACCGAACCAGATGCGCACTGCGGCGCCTTCACCCACCTCGGTTGTATGGTACAAGCTGCCCGCTTGCATGGCAGGTGCCCCAACTGCGGCGCCGCTACCGACCATTTCCCCCGCGAACCGAGCGTTGCTGCTCGTTGCCAAAAGCTCGGGATCGACCTTGATCCTCCTCCTCTTGCGCGAGCCCCACCAGAACGTTCTCTGGTGCGGACGCCGCAGAACCTTCGCAGCCTGCACACGTACGCGCTGTTTGTTGCCGCCGTTTGGCTGGGCCCGCGTTGGGGTTCGTCGAGCTGCCGGACAACCGTATGCATTGGGCGCCGGTTCGGCACCGTGGGCCCAATGGGATCGCAAGCTGGACGGTAGTGTGGCTGTGCATGCAGTGCTTCAGCGACCTGGCATGGGAGCGGGTTCAAGTCCCCGGCCCGGCCCCCCGCCTGCGTGCGGTGCAACGTGCCCATGCTGTGGGAGGTTGACATGCATTCGCACACCGAGCGGTGGGTGTGTAGTCGTTGCCCCACCGCGGGACCGATGCGAGCAATCTCTCTTCAAGTTCCCGCCCAGTCCAGAACAGAACCGAGGCCAGCGCAGCCCACCCAGCGCCCACCACCACCCCGGCAAGCCGTCGCCGATCTTGCCCAAGCGCCCCCACCGTCACTGCCGTTCACCCAGCATACCAACTCCCCGCAAGACGGCCGGCACACTTTGCATGGTAGGCACGGGCGTGCCGAACTCGGCAGCGAGGTCGACAGCATCGAGGCTGGACCACGCAGCTGCCGAGATGCCAGCAAAAGCTGCATGGCCTGCCCCTCCCTGTAGGGCTACGGCAGCAACGTCGTCGGCAGTGTGGAAGGGCTCTCCGCCGGTGTGGTCGGCTTGTGCGGTGTCCGTCGGGCCTGTCAGTGCGATGTGTGTGCGCTCCCGACGTGGTGCTGGCGATGCTGGCACGGCCTGTCGGGCGGGCCCCTCACAGCGGGCGTGTGGCGCAGCCGGAGACGGCGGCGGCCGCAGCTGCCGGGGGCAACAAGACGGGCTGTCGAAGTGCGGCAATATCCCGCTCCAAGGTGGAGGCGCCAGAAAGGTGAGCAGCCCTTCCTGTATCGCAGCCGGAAAGTAGTGGCCCTCCTCCGGCACAGCGACGGCGTGCAACAAAGTAGTGAGGGATTCGGCGTCGGTTAGTCGCTGGAAAGGGGCCTCCACCTG